TAAAAACAGAAATTACCAATAAAAATTTAAACACCATTATTGAAATTTCGTGGGAAGGATATATTTATCGTTAGAAGATTAAGTTTAGAACTTGATCAAGGTCTAAGTGAAGTTCGTTTATATATAGTAGGGATGTTTTCAAATGAATTTAGTTGAATTATTCGAGGCGATGTGCTTCGATTTTCCAGATCGTTGGATTTTAGCAAGTGACAATTTGCAACGTACAGTTTTAGAAACGAAATTGATTTAAATGGAGCAAGTTAAATTGGAAATTTTGCTTATATTATATTTATAGAGTAAAAGTATTGAATTAAATTGTCAAAAAATCGGTTGATTATGTTGTATTCTTAAATAGCTTTTATTAAAAAGTATACATATATTTTGAGAAATGCTTTGAGCAACATCATTCCACAAAACCTTCGCTCCACGAATTCTTCGTCATGCTGATAAGAACCAGATAGTTCCAAAACAGCAAGCAAACTGGGAACACTACACCCTGTGTAGAACTGCATATTCACAGAACTACTTTGAATGAATCCCATTTTGTGTTCGACGCAAACTGTTTCGCATTCGTCAAACTGTTTCACTTTGTCAACTTTGGAAAGATTTGGAAAGCAAAAGACATTGCGTCTCAGAAATACAGCGTTCAGAAAGCATCGTTCGCCAAACTTCTCCAAGATCTCTGAAAGCGACATTCTGAAAATGCCGACATAAGCAGTTCCACGAACTCTTGTTTTTTATGCGTTATTCTATTATCAAATTGGCAAAGGCGGAGAAATGTCGGAACCTCTTAGACCTCTTTCTAAAGGTATTTCCGACGAGCCAGGTCACCCGATGTACCTCTTCTGGATTTTTGTTGTTGAGCATTCTTAAATAGTATTCTAATTATTAAGAACTAAAGACAATGTATCGAAGCGGGTAGGAAAATGTTTAAAAATTCATAAATCTTATTTCTTCTTGCTAGATTATAAACGTTGGTTAATTGTTTCTGAAGAGGTTTCCATTTTTTTCAAAAGATGTTTTGCCGTACTGGCCAAACAACACAGTAAAATTTTTTTATTTATTTTTTTAATTACTTTACTTTTATCCACAGATTCAGATTTTACAATAAAATATGTACAGTGTGTCCCAGGATAGATGTTACAAGAGGTATAATGATATAATTGCAGATACTGATGTGATAGCAATCGACATTGGATCTAACAGATACACATCCAACCCCTACAAATAATTAATGTTTGGGCAGGCATCCAAACAATTCCTTTGGCCAGAATATCGTTGGTCCATTTTTTAATTTTACGTAGATCTGTACATTCAACTTCTCCAAGAAAATGTTTTACCCAGACTACGAGAACTGTTTCCCAACTACAATAATCCACAGCTAATACGTGACACTATTTGGCTGCAATAAGATGGAGTCCCACCGCATTTTTGTCGTCAAGTTTTCGACAATTACTGGACGTTTTTCTAGGCAGGTGGATGGGGCGCAGAGGAAGCATGGAATGGCCGGCCAGGTCTCCCGACTTGACTACTTGATTTTTTCTTGTGGAACTATGTAAAAGAAAAATCCTATGTAAAGGAAAATTTTGTCTAATGGGTCTACTTCTGTCAACAAGTTGATGGACGACACTTTCAACACCTTATTTAGTGTTGAGGTCCTGATTTTGAAAACGTGAAAATTTTGAAAATGTTTAAATAGCAACTGAACAGCGAACAAATTGGCAACATTAATTACACAACATAAATAAAAAACAATATTTATTTTTTATTTATATTTATTTTATATTTAATTGACACTCCCACATCGTTTCCACGTTGTTTCTACTACCACTGCAATTTCACACGGCATTCTACTTAGAAAACACAAAAATAAACATATTGGTTGTAAAAACATTAATTATATAGAGAAATACCAAACGATGTTGATACGTTTGTCCTTAAGTATTGTTGTTATTATTTTTCTAGCAACAACCGGATATTTTTTTCCGGTTCTGTTACTTGCGTTACTGTTACTTACTTTCGAAGAAAATCTTGAAAAATTCTGTAAATCAAACATGTTTGTTGAATTTTCGAGGCAACTAGATTTACTAGACATTTCATTTTTACCATTTTTCCTCGAACTGTAATGCGGAATAAAATAAGCTTTCGAATGATGTCAATTTTGATTAGTGATGCAAATTCACTTATCAAATTTCATGTTGATCCGAAAAGTACTTTTTGAGATATTAAACCAGTTCCATACTTAATGAACATCTTGAATAACATTTCTACGATATTAATGAAAAAATATATAAAATTGTATTTTACTTTTCTCTAAAATTTGCGTGGAATTACTACGACTCTTTAAAATCTAGGTCGTAATTGTGCATCCCATTGTACCCAAAAATGCCATTAAATCCTTCATTGAAGATTGATGACGGTAAGAAAAGTTGTTATTTCAACGGTCAAAGTCCGGACGTAACTCCAGATCAATGAGTTTAATGATTCATTGTTCTCATCTCGTCTTCGTCTGCTTGGGCAATTTTGAAGTTGACCATTTGCATTTGTTGAATATTTGTGGTAACAACTTATCCAAATTTCTTCTAATCATTTCTACCATCAAGTTTGCGTGTCGACGAATGGATAAACCGTAAAATTTTGACCAACTTCTTCTTCTTGCAATACTTATCTACTAATGGATGTTTGCCATCATATTTTATATTTCTTCTCTATTCCTCGTAATATGGATTATAGCCTGTCGTTGCATGTTGTACATTCCGGTTCATTGTCGAACATTTCTCCTTCCAATTCCTTTTCGCCCTTCGAATTTATCATGTCACATGACATATCCCAAATATAAAGCTTTTCTCTTTTTAATTGTGGTAAATAGTTCACGTTCTTTGTTTACTCGAGCGACCACTTCTTCATTTGTTACCCTTACAGTCCAACGGATTTCCGTATTCTGCGATATATCGACATCTCTTCCACTCCATACAAAAGCATCACCATACGTAACATTTGATGAACCTCAATCTCAAGTTTAGATCAAAGTCTGAGCAGCTTCTGAATTTTTGAAATGCCTGCCTAGCTTGTTCTATGCGACTTTTAATTTCATTGTTCAATGTCCAGTTTCCAGACAGTCCCTAGGTATTTGAATTGTGTAAATTCATTTGTGTGAATTCTATTCGTATGGTTCATAAGGCTGTTGAGTGATTCTTCACAAGTTCTGGCTCTTTTTACTTTTGGTAGTGGGAGAAAGATAGATAATAGCCATTGTTGAGTGTAGCAACTAGTATCATAAATTGCAGCCGGGGCAGGTGTTTCATGATTTTTCGAGTTTTGAATTGTTTTTCTATTTTCTCGTTAGATATAGCTAGACCAGTTATGCATTCGTTGCTTTCATTGTTTTCATATTTCGTTTCTGCTTTGTCTTAAATGTCAGAAACTCAGAAACTATCCGTCCATCTTCGCTGACTAATATGCCCCTTTTCATCTTTCCGTAAACACCAGATGTTTCTTTTATCTTCTGGTGTACTTGGAAGGTGTTGTCTTGGTTCTGTAGATGTTCAATCTCTGTGCATTTTTGTTTCAACCATTAATTCTTCGCTGCACTGATTTTCGATCTGATTGTTGTTTGTATGTCATTTATCGGGTGTTGTCCTTGTTTTTATAAGATCTTTGTTCGTTAATTAGCTCTAGTATCTCATCTGTCATCCAATTTTGTATTTTGTTATATTGACTACAGCATGAAATGTTGCAGTACTTGCTGATTTCGTTCCTTATTGCAGGATCTTTAATTTTGGAAATGTATTTTATGTTTTTTCCAAAGACTCTTTTAAAACTGCAGCTAACAATACAAAATTGCAAGAGGCGATTACCTCAACGGAAAGGTTTTATCGCGATTTCAAATTTCTAATTCTCCCTAGAAAGTTTTATCTGACTACGTTTGATAATAAATTCAAAAGCAACTTCCAGTTTGTCAAAAGCTTGAATTTTTATTTTATTAGTTCGCAAGCGCAAGTCTTTTTTTGAGGGCTATTCTCAAGTTTAAAGAGATCAGTTCGGGTAGTTCTTGATTTTGCGATTTTGAAAGATCTCCAATTCCAACCGAAGTATGGACACTTGCTTTAATGAGACGACTTTTGATGCAGCACAAACCAAACGAACTGCGATGCTTTCGTCTATGTTGGAGAGTCATGTTGATATTTACCAGACACGTAAAACCGAGTTGCAGTATCAGATAAGATTGTCCATTCAGGAATTTTTTCATAAGCAGAAGCACAACAAGCCCAGAGTATTCGTGTTCTCATATCTACCTAGACTAGATCTACTGGCTCTGCCAATTACATAAACTTTTGAACAACCTGGACATTATTTGTAGTCCATTCGTCAACTGAGTTACTACCATAACCTCAGCTATAACGGATCTTCGTATTCGAGGCTGAATTGTTTTTGATTTAGTTCAATTGTTTTTGGAACGAGTTTACAGATAACTTTTTATTCACAATGAAACCTGTGACGAATGCATGTTCCGTTTTTTGACAACTATAGAGTACAGTATGGTTCCATTTCTTTAGTATATCTAATCCTGTTCACTTGATCACTTGCAGAGCGGTGATGCTTAGTTTATGCTTATTTATTTCACTCGAGATGGTTTTGCCCCTACGCCATAAAGGAATCTCACGTTTCATGTCGCAATTCTTAAATAGTCCCTTGTACCTTGCGCAGTCGTCTTGTCTTGAACAGTCGCGTTTCCTTTTGAACATTCATAACAAATGGGTTTTTTTTTTGGGAGGGGTAGTTAACTTTGAGCAGACGAGAACCGCCCCATTTGAATCCCCCTTTGCTTCTCAATTCGTTTTCTAACGTGCTCTTTTGCAAACACCTCGTTGTGTTACAGTTGTAATGAAAAACGTCTTTCATTTTTGTTTATCATATTCTACAAGAAAACTTGAAGTATTATGATTAAATTTGTTTATTGAAGAAGTAAGTAAAAATGTATAAGTAAGAACAACAAGATGTTATTTGCACATTGCTTTATTAATATTAAATTCAAATTACAAACAACAGAAAGGTTTTTCTTTCAAATGGAATCATAAAGTTTTTACGGTAAAAAAAATTAATAGTGACAATATTCTTCTACGATTTTCAAAGTGCAAGGTTTAAAACAGCACAAAGAAACAATTTGTCTTCTTCCTATTTTACTTTCTAGCATTCTATTAGTTCTAGAAGGTAAAATTTCTTCATCTATATTAATCATCGAAGAATCCAAATCATCTAAAAAGTGTTAATACAAAATGTGTTTAAAGTTAATATTTGTTTAATTAAAATAAAATTTTTACCATTGATTAGATTTCTTTTATAATACTTTGAGCACACTTTGAATACCAAACGATCTAATTCATCTCCACAAGCTTGATACATTTTTTCTGAGGATGCAATGTTAACGAAGATAGAAACTATCAATAAAAATTTGAACAACATTTTTAAAATTTCTTGGAAAGGATGTCTTTATCGTTTGACTAGTAAACTTGAACTTGATCAAGGTCTGGGTGATGTTCATTTATATACAGTAGGGGTGTTTTCAAACGAGCTAACTTGAATTATTCGAAGCGATGTGCTTCGATTTTCCGGATCGTTGGATTTTCGCAAACGATAACCTTATTAGTTAAGCTAGTTTTAGAAATTTTGAAGCGTATTTAATATTTAGAGAGTTGTTTCACACAATTAAATTGACAAAAATCACATTTTATACAGAAAGAACTAAACAGAACATTTAAAAATATTTGCTTTTAAAAAAGTGCATGCTTTTATACATCAGCTGCAAATTGGCTATAAAAAGTTTCTAAGAAATAGAATTTTCTCGAATTATTAAAGTTTATCGAAAACCAATTTTTGAGTTTCATCAATTTCAACAAATCAAATATAAACTCTTTAAGATGGAACACAAACTGTTGAAGATATGAAAATTGTACATTTATAAAAACAAAACTGGCAGAACAAAAAAAATGTCATGCCTAGTTTCTGTTCCATTTTTAGTATCTTCTTCATTTAGTCTTCTTTCCTAAAATGTTGCATGACAATAACTTTCTAAAATATCTCTGTCGCCGTTGGGATCTAAGGGTTCGGATACCAGGAGGAGGGGAGAGGAGAAAGGGAATGGCAAGAACAAAGAAGGAGAGGAAAAGCAGAGCGGAGGTAGTAGTGAAGATAATTGAAGAGAGAAAAGAAAAGGACGATGAAATCACAAACGAAAATGGAACAGAAACGAAGAAGGGAGATTAAGGACATGGATACCTAGCCTGTGGGTTGAGAATTCTCAGTGTTTGCAACAGAAGAATTAACAAAAAGGGATAGTGAATCAGTGTGGCTTCATCCAGGATATATTTTGCTGTTCCTTAGAAGACGGATAGAAATACAGAAATTCTTGGAATGGAAAACAGATCTATGAGAGAATTGAGTAATACCCAAGAATTCTGGAAAGAATTGGAGACGAAGCTAATGGCCCAGCAAAAGACCAAAGTGTCATTGCAACGATCTTAGGACTCTTTAAGCGAATTGAGGGTGCAGCTATCAGAGTGATTTTTACTGAGTCTGAGAAGTATGGGATGGTTGTACAAGAGAAGATGTAGATTGAAAAGATTGTGGACAGAGTCAAATTGCATCTTACCGAATCCAGTTATGCAAAAGTAGTAGGGAGAAAAGATATCAAAATGGACAAGCGAAAATAATAGAAAAAAAACTCTCATTCTGAAAAAGGGCGAAGAAGTGGTGTGTGAGTTGCACGTTTGTATTTTGATGACTGATTTCCAGAAGAAAGAAAGAGTTGAAGAAAGAGTGAAAGTATGGAACGAGTGTATTATGAGTGCGTGCGAAAAGGTGTAGAGGCATAAAAAGACAAATACAAGAAAAAATATGAGTAGAAGATACCAGAATAGTAGGACACGGGGTGAGAGTGATGATAACTAGAAGCATGTCATAGATGCCAAAAAGGGGTACAAGAAATAGCTAATTAATGCGTAGAGGTGATTGTGAGGCTGGTAGAAAGAGTGGAAGATGATTGCTGGATGAAAGTATGGAGGTGAAGTAGAGGAAAAAGGAAAAGAGTATTGATAACTTGCGGCGATCGGGCGTGAAGAATTGGGAGCAGAGAGAGAACTTTGGAGGAGATCCTCATATACTTCCCTGCCAACAGACTAGAGGACAACTCACCGAGTCAGACAAAAATAAAAGGGAAATTCTGGACAATATCATTATTTTTAAATCTCATCCTAACACGATCTTAGCAGGAAATATTCCGAGCCAATACTTGCTCCTGTGCAACTCTTTACGTTCATGAGATTTGATCTGTGAAAGGCGCCTATTAGTAAATGGCTAATACTCATAGCGGATAGGAGGGAGAGCATGATAAGATTAGTGACATCCGGCACAAACATTTTTCCAAAAAGCTTACCCCACGTCCTTCGGAGGGGACGTTAATTCGTCGGTCCCCCGGCACCAGTCGTTCATCTCTGGTGTCGTTAGCACTAGGGTAATGTCACCTTGAGTTCCTTAGGCGGTCCCTAAGGAAAAGTTTGAAATTTTTTTTGCGGAGGGATAACTCATGGTTTTATGTATCAATATTTAGTTTATATCACTAGATAACTTTTTATGGTATGACATCTTCGATTTCTTATTTGGAAGAAAAAAATTTCTATCTTGCTAAAAAAGTCAAATGTTGTTGGAATAAGAAAATATAACCTTGAGTGAATCATCTCCGAAAAATTTCAATAAATTGTGAAAAAACCAATAAAAACGTAAAGAACAACAAAAGTTGTTTCTACCTCTTTTTGTAGGACGCACTGCCTTCGCTTCTTTTGCTTTGCTTATCTCATCACGTTTCTGCTTTTTTTCCTGCAATTCAGCAAGCATATATTTAGCATGCTTTATAAAATATATTACGAATCATCCATCATCTAACAAGATGAAAACTTTGGATTTGCAACTGTTAAAAATGATCTGTATACAGTATTATAGAAATTTGTGGGGATACTCAGCCCAAACTATGCATTACTCAATCGCATACCATTATCACAAAATTTATTATCATAAATATATAATGATTACACACATTATTCAGGAGGGAGGATTCTAATTTACTCTTGAATGAAATACAGCTCAATCCCATAAGGTTCACTGGTAGATCATTCTACGTTTTGGCTATCTGGTAGGATAAGGATCGGTGCAACGCGCGGTGTGGTACCGTCAATACATCTTCCTTCTTGCATTAATATTATGGACATCGCTTCTGAAAGATACGCGTTGCAGCAAGTAAGGAAGCCGTTGACTTTTAATAATTTTATAATAAACGCAACTTGCATGCAGTTTACGTCTGTTCTTCATGTTCAAATTTACGAATTCCATAAATAAACCTTAAACAACCATTCTGGAGGTTCTGGATACGACGTCCACTCGCCCCCGTTAAATTTGGACCATAAAGCAAGCTATCACATAGCATAATTTTGAATTTTTTATTTAAGACATCCCTATGGGCATACAAGAGACGGAGGGCGCCATATTCATCCCTCAAGCACCTGGCCACATGCTCCTCAAACCTCAACTTATCATCCAATGTAACTCCTAAAATTTTTATATCATCAGAAACAGTACGAGGTTCGCCATCCACCACCAATTGACCGGATATCAAACGTTTAATTGCTCTCCTTGTGACACTACCGCAAAACAGAAGAACAGAAGACTTAGGTGGATTAAGCACAAGCTCATGGCGTTTCGCAACATCAGAAAATAATGCTATATCTGAGTTAAGTTTTATGCAGGCATCATCCCAATCATTTGGATTAAAATTCAGCAGAAGCTGTGTATCATCTGCATACAAGTGAATCTGCACAATAGTGCCCCCAAAATGGACCCTTGAGGACTCCAAGAGTAACAGACAGAGCGCTCAATATTTGACTGTTAATCTTCACAACCTGAGACCTATCCGATAAATATGACTTTATCAAAATTACAGCCTGATTTCCAAGACCAAAATATTATCATATACAGGGTATTCCATATCAGACGAGCCACCCCGTATATTTCTTATCCCATAGTGATTAGAAAAGTTTCCCGAAACCCGTCGAATGATTTTGTATGGGGGCCATCTTTTGAGGCTTGAACGAGCAACCCCCTAAGAGGGGGTGCTTCAACCCCTCAAAATTGAATAGGGGAGAGGGGTTGAGTGATACTTCATTTGAAAGGTCTTGGAAGCCTCTTTACAACGGTGTATGATAAACGTAAATTTGATGAATCGTTTTCGCCAAAAATCAATTTTTTAGCTCAAATGAGCAACCTTGAATATTTTGGTTATAAATAAAAAAATTGAATTGTTTTATCATGTTGTTTTATTTATCACAATCAAAAAATCAAATTTGCGTTTTTAAATCAAATGTTCAAATTGTCCTCCATTGACTTCCATACAATAATAAATTCTCTCAAACTAAAAAATAAAAAAAAAATCAAAACATTTCCATATGTTGCCTTCATTGTTTGTTCTTAGAAGGTGTTTATCTGGTAATAATACGTTTAAATCAATCTGTTGAGTTACTACTTTGCTGATTTGTTTAAAATTTTAAAAATAATTATGGTGTACACATTGCAAGAACGTGTTGAGCTGGTTAGCCTCTATTACCAAAATCAAAATTGTGCCCCAGCGACTGCAAGGATATTTAACCAAAACCATCTTGAACGTAGTGTTCGCCATAAGTACGTAATGGAATTGATTTCAAAATTTGTTGAGACAGGTTCAGTAATGGATAGAAAAAGGGCACCCATTGGAATTGTGAATGATGAAGGAGCAGCGGTGGCGGTCTTGGGACATGTCCAACTTATGCCAAACACGCAATCTGTACGACAACTTTCTGCAGCTTCCGGTATTAGCCAATCTAACGTTTTCAGAATTTTACATAAACACAAGTTCCATCCGTACAAAATTAAATTAATTCACGAATTAAATGATGATGATTTGGATCGAAGGCAAGAGTTTTGCGAAAAAATATGGCTGAGCGTATCAACAATAACCCAAATTTCTTGTACAACGTTTACTTTTCTAACGAATGCACTTTTTCACTTAATGGAGACGTTAACCGGCATAACTGTAGAATTTGGAGCGATACAAATCCTCATGTATTTCGAGAAGCTCACACTCAACATCCGGAAAAGCTAAACGTTTGGGTAGGAATTTTGGCAGACCACATAATTGGACCTCTGTTTATTCCTGGTAATATTAAATGGCGAAATTTATCTTGAAATGCTGGAAAATATGATTGATCCGTTAATAACAGAAAAATTAGAAAACCATCCACTTCTACTTGAACAACAATTACATTTCCAACAAGACGGAGCTCCTCCTCACTACGCCGCACCAGTTCGCCAATACCTCAATTTGCAATACCGCGGTCGTTGGATTGGAAAAAGAGGTCCTATAGAGTGGCCTGCCCGTTCTCCTGACCTGA